CAAACACTTTTACGTATCTTATTACTTAAATAATAAGGCTATTAACATGCCTAAGAATTAAATCTGAGGAAATCTGAGGAAATGTGAAAAAACAGCATAACTTCTAAAATAATGCCCCAATTATGCTGATTTTCGAACTCAACCTGCGTTTTAGTAAGACTGACCATTCCTGTGAGTTTAATGACAATTGGGCTTTCTGTTTTTCTTATATTGTGGTTACAGTGTTGCATATATGCTGAACAATGAAAAAACCGCATAACTAATAAAATAATCGCTCGATCATGCTGATTTTCGAACTTGACCTGCGTTTTATGAATATTCATCAGCTCTGTAAATATAAAGCCAAAAAGTGAAACTGCCTTCCACTTATCGTGTTTACAAGGAAAGTGCACGGCGACGGCATCGGCATCGGCATCGGCGACGGCGACGACAGACGCAGGTGATGGCAATATGTACAGACACATCTGTGTCTGTACATAAAAATGTGTTATGCCAACATGCTATAGATGAATAACAGTGCCTTATTTTTCTCAAACTTGGTGGGGTTATTCATATCAAGTTCATACAGCTAGATTAAAAGTTTGAATAGCAGCTTTATTGGAATTTTTTTACGTTTTATTTAAAAAATTTTAAAATTATTTTTCAAACGCTAGCATCTTCAAGATGTGATTTTTTACTCCCCTCCACCAGAAGTGCTGTGCATTTTCTGTATTTCCACATGAGCAATTGTATTGGTTTTTATGTCTTTAAACATTGTGTAATATTATTTTATACACTGTTATCATTTTTCACATATTGTGATTTTCATTATATAAATTTGAACTCTTGTGGTCCTGAAACTGTAATCTTATTGCAGGGGCAGGGGCTGTCTTCTGGGCCTTCTGGAAGATGGTCAGATTTTAATGTTTACATTGACAGGTATCTATTTTTTCTGTTGGAATACCATCAAAAATGGAGGATGGGTCAACAAAGATAATTTGGAATACTGTCAGAAAATATCTCTCCTGTTCACTTCTGTTATTGACCATGTTATCTGTTGTTCATGATTAAAATTCAGTGTTGATTGACAGCATTATTTATTATTGCATCAAAATTGACAAAATGACCTATTTTTTACATATTTATTTTCTGTTTTTTGTCTGTATATTTGACAGCTTTGCTGCCTTGTTTAATATGTCAGTCTGTATGTGTAGGGGAGAAAACAAACTATAGCTACTGATGACTGTTTTATCACATTTTATTTCACGTATTACACCCATTCTCAATAAAGAGGTCTGCAACTTATCAAGAAGCGAGTATTGTGTCTAACGTTTCAGTTAATGTCTATAAGGTTTCTTTTGAATGACTCAATAAAAAGCTTGGTGTGAAAATTAATTCATAATGAACTTCACTGGCGTAGCCTTTCTATGAATATGTGGTTGGTCCTGAAAAGGACCGTTTGTTGTAAATATGCAAACAGCAATTTACTTGGCAGCTGCAGTAGAATGAGCAGAGCTAGTTGATCAGACTAAAATTTTTCTGCTTCACTATTTAGCATAGTGCTTTCTGTAGTTATTCTCACCTAAAAAAATTCATTCAACTAAAATGCTCTCTTTCTGAAGCAAGGTTCACTCGTTAATTGTCATGTATTACACTGCTGATGCACACACTTTTTATTTTCATATAGTATGTTGACAAATGCATTTAAATTACGTGAAATTACTGTGTATCCTGGAGTTTTTATTTATTTGTTAACAGCCACAGGATATTGCAGCTGCCATGGTTTTAGCAAAGCACAGCACACTAGGCAGTAAGAAAAAAAAAAAGATTTTTTATTTGGACCTGTTGACATTTGCGGCAGATAAAAAATTATTTTAAAAAAATCTCCCTTAAAAATAAAGTGCCTTAAACATACACTTCAGCATTGTTGGCAATATTATATATAAAATCTACAACGACAAAGACAAATTTAAAAGTAATAAAAAGGTTATAATAGCTAAAAAAGACAATTTTACCATGATATTTTTCATTCTGTTTATACTGAATAAGATATCAAATTTTTAGATCAGATTATTTCACAAGCTCTGTCAGTTTACTTTACTATGCTTAACTACTGTGCAAGTTCCTTGACTACATTACCCTAACAGCATTTTCAAGTAAATGAATGATCGTTTAGTTGGTGAATAGCTTTTGCTTTGAAAAATGTCTCCTCTCTTTGGGAGGGACCATGTCTTGATTATATTGCTTCATGATTGCATTGAATGATTTGTTTAATAAAACTTGTTTTGTTTTAAGCCCCCCCCCCCTCCAATCAATTGCAACCCTCGTTAAATTTCCATAAATGACATAATCATCACTCTCACTCCCATGTATAAATACAGCTATGGATGCAATTGCATATTTATTAAAATGAGACTGCCGAGGGGTATACAGAGCACAGAAAGAAAGAGAAAACATCTGTTCAAATTTTATTTTTAGGGAAATGTGAAACAATGCCCTGTTTGGCATTTCTCTAAATTATACTGTTTGAAACTATATGCATATATGGATGCACTTGGCCAGGTTTTGTTGCAAAATTTGGACTTCAAATACATCTTTAAGATTGTGTTTATTTTAAAATAAAGTTCTTCAAATAAAAAATCACCTGCATAGTCACATGCTGGGTCAGATGAAAATGACCCATTATCAAAAAATTCTTTGAAGAAGTCTATCCACTCTTTTTGTAGTCAAAGTTATAGCAGGTGACCAGTTTTAGTACCACTTGTAGATCTCACTTTCTCTTGTATCTGCAAAATAAATCAAAGACAAGGACTAGAAAGATAGATAGATAAATAACCATAAACAAGGTTAGAGAATAGAACCTATTCATAGAAAGGAGGAAAACTTCAAGAAAAAACTAGACAGCGAAGCTGGCAAATATACAGACACAATACAGGAAACTAGGCTGCATAGTTGACAAATGTTCAGACATTATGCAGAAAAAAGTGCACTAAATGATGTTTAGGCCAATTTAATGCACTGTTACATAATACTTTAAAACAGCATAATCACTCCTGCTCTCTTACATTATGTACTACAGGTAAAATGGACACTGAAAAACTAGCAAGTGATTCAATAACATTTTATAAAAGCCACTGAAAATGCAACTGTGTGAAATTAAAAAAAACAAAAAAACATGGTAACTACGGTAATGTGCCAAGCATTTCGACGGGCCCAGTCAATCCGACCAAAAAAATTATATTACAAAATTATTTTTTCTGGGCTCAAACATTTAGTCCATACGTCAAAATCATGCAACATAATTTTTTTCTTGTTCCGATTGTTCGACCACATCGACGGCAAGACTCGGTAAATTTTCAAGCCAGTGAAATAGATGCTGCATGCCTCGGCCCTTTGTCAATTGTTGTCCTTTCAATAGCTCTCGTCAATGAGGAAGAAACAATTAATTGAAGATCTTATCTGGAAGCATGACGTACCTGTCATTTCCTTTGTCCCCGATGACAATAATAGTGCTTAATATAGACATACAATTTGTGCTAATTAAGAAGACTTGCCCTCGCTGACTGATTCATCACGCCCGTAACTAGGGGGGGGGGGGTCTAAAAAAAAGGTCTGTTCTGGATGAAACCAAATATCGAGAGTGGGTGGAATACGTTGTAAACACCTTCATATAGACCATATATAGCGTTTGCTAGCAATAAAAAGTTTGGGAAGAATAAGCAATTTATTTTCAAGTTTGATTGAAATATATATGCAGATGGGGAAACGTTCTTGAAGTCAACACCGCAAGATCTTACATTTACTACAATTGACCGAAAGATCAGCGGGATCGACCGCCCAGACTTCTTGGCGCCAAATACCACGCGCTGTCAAAATCTGACGAACACGTGTTGCTGTTCACCTACATGGATAACTGATTTGTCAACAATAAAATGACGTCTTCCTTAACTCCACGGGAGCTTTATAGTTCCACTGGGCATTTACGTTACCTGTGAGTCACTTTTTTCCCCAGATGCATGAAATGTTGATAATATTTAGCGTAATCCACGAAGAACTCCATTCCTGTGACCCCCCCTCCCCCAAAATGGGACCGTCTTCATAAACACGTGGTTTGCGCTATGCTGGAGCAGAGCAGATAAAACCAGTCTCTCTTTTCTGCATGTGCTCAATATTCTCACGTCAAATTATAAATGCACCATTTTTGTGAAAATTATGGCAATTAAATGCTTTTTTTATGTTCGGGTTGTATCAGTGGGGTTTTCAATATGCACCGTGGTTTGTGCACAGCGAGAGTATATAAGTAAGAAAATCGGAAGAGTGCCAGCAAGATACTGTATGTCTATCGGTACAGGTAGGCTCTGTGTTTTGCCTTTTCTCAATATGTTTTAATTAATATGACATGCTTTTTAAATAAAATACTTAAAGTAATTTGAAGTTACACTGAATTCCGTTTGTGTACCAGTTGGTATTCTTTGATACGGGTGATTGAATTTTCTTCGGAAGTACGTGCGTCAAGCCTTGCCGGTTGAAAACAACTGATCTCAGACTGGTAAAAAATTTCAATTCGGTTGATCTCAGTTGTCATATTAAAATTCAAATAGGTTGTACGTAGCTCACATAACTAGTTTAAGTCCACTAAAGCTACCGGTTTCAAATATAAGTGACCGGCCTTTGTTTACAACACCTGTCTCCGGGGAAATACTCGTCCCACTTGTGAAGCGCATCATGAAAATGATCGTAGGTGAGGGAAATATATAATTAGAAATTATAATTGTCGTCTTTTTAAATGTTAAGTAATGTTAGCACATATTGTGCAGAGCAAAATAAGATTTCAAAAGGAGGATAAAACATGCCTAAAACACGTGTTAGGCGAAAATTGTGGCTTATCTTGCGTAACACTTCCGGTAAAGTGCAACACTTCCGGAAAGATGGACGTTTTGGCAGATACCCCTTACAATCCGACGATATCAAAGGTTTCCATTTGCTGTATTTTAATCAATTCGACCAAACTGACATTTCCATGAAATTAATTAATTAATCTTGGTCGAATTGTTTGGCATATTACCGTATTTTGGACAAGGGTGCATTGCCACAAGTGCCAAGCACCCACAAAGCCCAAAATGCACATGATTAGCGTTGAGATTATATGTGACCTACATACAAAAGATGGATACAGGGGCTCTTGTAGTTTAGGAGGAGAAGTGGTAAAGTTGACATGTAAATGTAAGCTGATCATGCCAATTTTCGAAAGCAACCTGCCTCTTTACCAAACAAAGTCACTCAGTAAATTTAAAGTAAAACAAAGATATGGTTTGGTAGTTATGGGTTGAACATTACATGACAGACAGACAGACAGACAGACAGACAGACCAATCAGAATATATACAGACACTTATAGTGTCTGTATATAAAAATCATCAGGCCTGAATGGGGTAAACAAAGAGCCTGAGAAATGGCAACCGCCATGCTACAGGGAACTACAATAGATGAGAACTTCACATCCACTTTGTTTGAAAAAACCGAGAGGTCTAGAGGCAAAGTCCACATGCACCAAAATAGTTTCAACCCATCAGCAACATGTATTTTTAATGAACAAAATTGATATATTTCATTAAATTTTATCAACAGATCATATAATTTTTCATTTTATACTTTTATATGTATACATATAACAATAAATTATTATTATTATTATTATTTTCATCTCATTCAAATTCACACAATATTATCTCACCTGCTCTTAGATTTGAATTTCTTCACTGGTTGTTTCTTTTTATTTGCATATTCTTTACGCTCTTCCCTCGATGGTCTGCAATATATTGGTCAATAACAGAAATAAGTAACCACTTTTAACTAATTTTTTTAAAAGAAAAGTCAACGGAAAAGCAAATCAATACTCCTGGATAAACCAGTTATAAACTTATGTAATTATAAACCCTAAATCATAAATTAATGCTGAAAAGTTTTCATGAGTAATACTTCTCAGTCTGGTAAATAGGACATATGGACTGTAGATAGCAATATCTTAAAAAAGAAAATTAATGAAGGTGTCATGGTGTAAAAATCTTCAATAACAAGGCAGCAAAGCTGTCAAATGTACAGACAAAAAACAGGAAATAACTATGCACAAAATAGGCTACTGTCAATTCTGATGCAAAAGTACATTATATTAAACTGCAAATTCAACATCAAATTTTAATTATGCTTAACAGGTAATACCAATGTTAAGTAAAATGTGTAAAAAGTTCACACTTTGAAAATGTATAACTTCCAGAAAAAGAAGCCAATTAGACTGCTTTTCCAACTCAGGCTGCATTTTAGTCCTGTATTTCTATTTTGAAAGTTTGGCAATCATAAGTAACATGGTTTTCCCATAATGGTCATCATGGCAGCAGCACCCAAAATTGTGTTTTCTTCTATTCTGATGCCAAATTACATAATGGTTAACAGCATAATGACCGTCAATTTTTAATAATAAAATATACGTATCATGGATTTTCAGAAAATGTGACTAGCATGGGTCTTCAAGCCCGTGGAACTTCAAAGTCACACCTTGAAAATGCCAATAAGTGAAAAATTAAATTTTCACAAAAAAAAAAACTGTTTAATTGGCAGTAAGAATTACCAAACAGATTGCATTGCCTACTGAAGCTGTATTTAATCCCATGTTTCTTTCCTGTAAGTTTGAGAACAGTAAGTGACATGGTTTTTCTTAAATGGGAGCAGTGCCCAAAATAGTTTTTTTTTCAAATTTTGATGNGCGCTTCGCTGAGAAACGGCGCAATGAATGACGCTGAGCTGCGCGCGCATCTCTCATGTGGAGCCTATTACGTCACTAGACGGTGATGTGGAAAAAAGGTTATAATAGCTAACAAAGACAACTTTACCATGATATTTTTCGTTCTGTTTATACTGAAGATATCAAATTTTCAGAACAGATTATTTCACGAGCTCTGTCAGTTTACTTTACTATGCTAAACTACTGTGCAAGTTGGTGAACAGCTTTTGCTTTGAAAAATGTCTCCTCTCTTTGGGAGGGACCATGTCTTGATTATATTGCTTTACGATTGCATTGAATGATGTGTTTAATAAAACTTATTTTGTTTTAAGCCCCCCTCCCCCATCAATTGCAACCCTCATTAAATTTCCACAAATGACAGATATTGCATAATCATCACTCTCACTCCCATGTATAAATGCAGCTGCGGAGGCAATTGCATATTTATTAAAATGAGACTGCCGAGGGGTATACAGAGCACAGAAAGAAAGAGAAAACATCTGTTCAAATTTTATTTTTAGGGAAATGTGAAACAATGCCCTGTTTGGCATTTCTCTAAATTATACTGTTTGAAACTACATGCATATATGGATGCACTTGGCCAGGTTTTGTTGCAAAATTTGGACTTGAAATACATCTTTAAGATTGTGTTTATTTTAAAATAAAGTTCTTCAAATCAAAAATCACCTGCATAGTCACATGCTGGGTCAGATGAAAATGACCCATTATCAAAAAATTCTTTGAAGAAGTCTATCCATTCTTTTTGTACTCAAAGTTATAGCAGGTGACCAGTTTTAGTACCACTTGTAGAGCTCACTTTCTCTTGTATCTGCAAAATAAATCAAAGACAAGGACTAGAAAGATAGATAGATAAATAACCATAAACAAGCCTAGAGAATAGAACCTATTCATAGAAAGGAAGAAAACTTCAAAAAAAAAACTAGACAGCGAAGCTGGCAAATATGCAGACAATACAGGAAACTAGCCGGCATAGTTGACAAATGTTCAGACATTATGCAGAAAAAAGTGCACTAAATAATGTTTAGGCCAATTTTAATGCACTGTTACATAATGCTTTAAAACAGCATAATCACTCCTGCTCTCTTACATTATATACTACAGGTAAAATGGACACTGAAAAACTAGCAAGTGATTCAATAACATGTTATAAAAGCCACTGAAAATGCAACTGTGTGAAATTAAAAAAAAAAAAAAAACATTGTAACTATTTTGGACAAGGGTGCATTGTCACAAGTGCCAAGCACCCACAAAGCCCAAAATGCACATGATTAGCGTTGAGATTATATGTGACCTACATACAAAAGATGGATACAGGGGCTCTTGTAGTTTAGGAGGAGAAGTGGTAAAGTTGACATGTAAATGTAAGCTGATCATGCCAATTTTCGAAAGCAATCTGCCTCTTTACCAAACAAAGTCACTCAGTAAATTTAAAGTAAAACAAAGATATGGTTTGGTAGTTATGGGGTGATCATTATATGACAGACAGACAGACAGACCAATCAGAATATATACAGACACTTATAGTGTCTGTATATAAAAATCATCAGGCCTGAATGGGGTAAACAAAGAGCCTGAGAAATGGCAACCGCCATGCTACAGGGAACTACAATAGATGAGAACTTCACATCCACTTTGTTTGACAAAACCGAGAGGTCTAGAGGCAAAGTCCACATGCACCAAATATAGTTTCAACCCATCAGCAACATGTATTTTTAATGAACAAAATTGATATATTTCATTAAATTTTATCAACAGATCATATAATTTTTCATTTTATACTTTTATATGTATACATATAACAATAAATTATTATTATTATTATTTTCATCTCATTCAAATTCACACAATATTATCTCACCTGCTCTTAGATTTGAATTTCTTCACTGGCTGTTTCTTTTTATTTGCATATTCTTTACGCTCTTCCCTCGATGGTCTGCAATATATTGGTCAATAACAGAAATAAGTAACCACTTTTAACTAATTTTTTTAAAAGAAAAGTCAACGGAAAAGCAAATCAATACTCCTGGATAAACCAGTTATAAACTTATGTAATTATAAACCCTAAATCATAAATTAATGCTGAAAAGTTTTCATGAGTAATACTTCTCAGTCTGGTAAATAGGACATATGGACTGTAGATAGCAATATCTTAAAAAAGAAAATTAATGAAGGTGTCATGGTGTAAAAATCTTCAATAACTAGTTGTCAGATTACACACCTTGTGTAATCATGGCATGCTTTAATCAGTTATGGCAAATACACAGGTACATTTTATTATTCAAAAAGACAATAAAGGTGAACTGGTTCTGAAAGTTGTTTTAAAATATCAAATTTTATGTCACATCTACCCTGCTCTGAATTTCTTCACAGCACGTCTGCTTGTGTTAGTCAGCTCTTTTTCAAAATTTGACTTGCTGCCAGGTTTCTTCTTTTTCTTTGAGGGTTCTGGAAAAAAACAAATAAACAAAAAATTACAGTTATTCAACATATTTTCACCATTTTAATGACTTGGACATAGATGGCTAAAGCCCAAAATGGTATCTTCATTCATATTATTCCAAAACATTACATGTTCCATTTTCTTTTTAATAAAAATCAATTTCCAAGGTCTATGTGCTTGTTGGTGCACTAATGGCACACTATGGTTAAAGTATATGTACTCCTTCTCCAACTTGACACATAATAAAGGAATTCCTGCCTTAGTCAGAAATTCCCCCTTCACTCATTCCCTTTGTTTAAGAAAATCTCACTTTGACTTCTGTCTTCTTCTTCCTGGATTGCACGAATACGTTTCGGTTTCCTGGACCTTTTTGCTTCCCTGGCTTGGTATGCTGATGCTTTTTCAATTTCAAAATTTGCACGATCATCTGCCTATAAAAACATATAAGAATGAAACAATTACAACTCCAACTTTTGTAGGAGTTAACATTTAAAATCCTAAAACTGCAAAGAAGATCATTGAAAATTTGCTTCAATTTTTGCCAAGATTTTTCCACTTAAAAAGGAGACAAATTAAACAATCAAATTGGGAAACAAAAGAATTGTGCTGTACTCCAATGGTTAAGTATTATACTCACAGTAAAAACTTTTTTCTTTTTGGCACTATTACTGGGTAACATGGAAAACTTCCCAAGAGATAATGCAGCTGAAAAAAAAAGTGTCCACAAGACATTCACCAATCAATTTTATTTCCAGTATTTAAGGAAATATTTTAATTTTGGGTTCTGGTCAGTATATTCAAACTCTTTGTAAAACTTTGTAAAGAGAAGCCAAAAATGAGATAACTTCTTCTATTGTACTTTGAAATACTGTTTGTAATATTCTTTATATTTAACATTTTCATAATGTCTGATCTGTACCATAAACACAAAACTGATTCATGCATATTTTCAGCCAACTCTGAACTAATCAGTCAATGCAAGACCTTTCATATTTACACATTTTCTTTAACTGGTCATAGTCTTACTTTTTTCTTGCATTCTTTCCTGATGCGTCTGGAACCAGGTTCGTTTTGGGCGACTCATTATTTCTGACTGATGCTCAATCATTTTTTGTGCCTTGTTGACTTGTAATTCTGAGATTCTCATCTCTTTCTCCTCTTGCTCCAGTCTCATAACCTCTACAATGTCCTTCTCCATTTTGGTTATTTTGGTCCTGTATTTTGTGATCACCTCTGAAATTTCAAGAAATGTAAATAAATAAAAAAATACTTTATTCTTTGTGTTCAACAGTTTCTTTCTGCGACATGAAAAGGTGTCATCGGTTCCATTTTAACTTAAAAAAAAAAAAAAAACAAACTGTCTTACATCCAAATATATATTAAGGACTGCCCGATGAAGTAAAAAAATTGTATCAAATTTATTATATTATATTATATATATTTTTTTAATATTTATATTACATTTATACATATTAAGGATACCTTGTGGAATGACTCTGCTTTTAACTGGGTTTCTTGCCTTTTTTACAATTTCTTTCAGATACTTCCGCTCTTGTTCTCCAACAAGTGTAATTGACCTAAAATTTTAAAATAAATAAATAAATAAATAAATTGAAAATAAAAAAAGAAGTAAAACAAAATCCTTACTGTGTCATATGAAAAGAAGGAAGGTTCCCCTACATACAAATGGACATATACAGACACCACAATAGATGCATAATAGCAGAATGTACAGAAGCTCTTTTGTCAATAGCCTGATAAACAACTAATCCTTAATCAAATACTGTCACAGCCCCATTCCCTGATAGGTATGATTGTAAGCAGACAGAGCAGTCTGGTAAATTACCAGTTTATTTTTGACAAACGAAATTCTACACTGCTATTAAAATTACACCGCTACATGATGGAACTTTTCACAACAGATGCCCAATTTAGAAAAAAAAGTAGCCATTTTCTGGCATGTACCTTCCACTTTTCCCAGCCCTTGCTGTCCTCCCAACTCTGTGAATATAGTGTTTTATTGTGTTTGGCATAGTAAAATTGATCACCTGTTAACGAAGGAAAAAAGGGTAAAAAGATAAACTTTTTTATTTATTTGGCTCAAAGTTACACAGCATATATAAAAAATTTCCACTTATTCATGACCATCAGAAAATAATTCAAAAAAAAAAAAATAATAATAAATAAATAAAATAAAATGAAATAAAATAAAATAAAATAAAATAAAATAATAAATATTTACAAGTGTGTATACACCAGGGCTTGACATTAATTTTTCATTTGGTTGCTACTGAACACTACCAGGCCCAGTGGTGTGGTTGCTGTACCAGATCTTAAAACATTGCTTGGGTGGAGGGGATGGGGTCGGTTGGCAATTTGCCAAGCATGCAATGAAAGACTTCTAATTTTAAATTGATACTCCATATTCAAAAAGAATTCCTATAAAAAGTTATGCCAGTTTCTCTGCTATTTTGCAAAAAGAGATTACAGAAAACGTAATATATATTTTAAACATTTGATTGCTATCTTATAAGCAACAACTATTGCACAAGTTACCACAAGGAGCTAATGCCATAAAACACATTGTAAAACAAACAATAAATGAAAAATGTTCAAAATGGAATAAGTTGCATTGTCAGACAACCGCTGATCAAGATTTGGTTGCCTGAGGGGAAAAAGTGATTGCAAAACGCAACCATGCAACCCTTAAATGTGTATAAGCCCTGTAGACTGTGCCTTTAATGTTGGTAACTCACAGTTTTAATTCCTTGGATGTCCAAACCTCTGGCTGCCAGGTCTGTGGCCAGCAGGACATCTATCTCTTCTGACTTGAACTTCTTCAGTGCCTCCAATCTCTTAAAATTGTCATAAAAACTATGTGACACATCAAGAATTTGTCAGAATGTCGTGACAATATTTTATAGTCCATACATACTATCAAACATTTCCTTTCACTTAATTTTTAGTGACTACAGTTCTTGACATTGTTGTAAAAACTATCATGCATCACAGTGATTACAATCTATGATGATTGTTGATGGAAGATGTGAAAGAGTTCATGCACGTTTTAAAATATCTGTCTCCTCTATTTGTGAGAATACAGACAAAATTCTTAGGATGAAAGCATAATTACATCTTCTGAAAAGAAAAATATGTGTTTTAGAAAGTAATTTCCAAGTTTGCAAAGAACCATAACATTCATAATTTTTTGGGAGTTTAAATATTTTCAAGCAAACTTCACTATTATGTGTGTTCAAAACTGAAATATTTGTTTAACTGAATGATGGTATAACACTTGCGAAAATGCTCACCTGTAATTGGGACAAGTTTCCATGTAACTCCCCGACTTTGATGCCTAATAAACCAAGAACAATGTGCATTCTGTGAGCTTGCTTCTTGGTCTGAATAAACACTATCACATGATCATGGAAAGTCCGCTTTACCAGTGCTGGGGGGACAAAAAGAAGTAGAAAATAAAAACAGAACAGGTGCTTAATACTAACTTCAGAACTACAGTCATGAATGAGACGGTCATTTATTGAAAAAGTCTGAAAATATGGCTGAGGTCCAAGTTACCCATAGGCCTGGAAATCCGCTAATAGTTAGGGTCAATAATCATATACAGAGCAAAAAGACAGTAGACAGAGTCTGTACCTGCTACAATGGCCTCCCTGTCCCCCTCTCTGTTGGGGCGTATTCTGACAAACTCTTGCCTCAGGTTGTAGGCGACATCTGTGCTGTCATTCACAAACACCTTTACTGGGTTGTTGAGGGAAACGGCAGCTAAGTCTTTCACCTATAGGCAACAGGAAAGAATCTGCCGTTATCTAAGACTAATGAAATTAACAAAACTGAATATCATATTCATGACATATCTCATATTAGTATATGACCAAGGGACCAAAGGTATTGAACTGCTTTTTTCTTCACCCTCAATACAAAATGCCCTCATATATCCTAAAACAACCAAAAAATTTCTTTGAAAAGGCAAACTCAATATCAATGAATGATCAAAATTAAATCTACTTGACTGAGACATGAAAGTTGATGTACTAATATTTCAACATTTTTTTTTAGTAATTTAGAATTATGCTTGGACTTATAATACCTCATCTGTCATTGTAGCTGAAAACAACATGGTTTGCCTTGTCCTTGAACACAAGCGTATCACTTCCTTCATCTGCTCAGCAAAATACTCGTCTAACATTCTGAAAATTAATTAATGTACATTAAAACATTTAATAATGCATCTATTATAGTTTTGCAACTAAAGGCAACACTCTGCCTCAATGCTAAGTAGATGGTTTTTGAAATATGTTGTTGTTGAAATATGTTTAATTGTTGTTGTAATCCAAATGTATGGTTATCTAAAATACAAAAATAAAAAATGAATAAATCACAAAAATTAAAAATTGTTTTATATTCAACAGTGGTCAGACTGCTCATTACCCCAACAGATTTTCTGTTAATCCCCCAAAACTGGAGATGTGATAAAGTTTGTCCAAACCTACCTATCTGCCTCATCTAAGATAAGAATTTCTATGCTTTGAAGGTTAAAGTTTGGTGCATTATGAAGATGATCAATGAGTCTCCCTGGGGTTGCTATGACAACATCAGGTCCAAGGCGAAGAGCAGCTTCCTGTGCCTTGATATCCAAGCCACCTATGGAAGTCACAATATGATATTTCAGAATGCTTCCAACTGTGTCTATATTGGGGATGCAATATTCTTCTAAATTCTCACTTCAGTTTAATTTTGAAAATAATAGTATTTTTGATATTCTCTTAACCAGTCTTTTTTTCACTGCTCTAATATATAGGGATCAGTGTGACAATTTCTGATCACCATCACTGTTAATGCTGATAGCTTTATGTATAAAATTATATGGCAACACCAGGGTCTAATAATCTGACCCTCAAAGTGTGTCCAGAAACTGTACAAATTTAAATTACAGAGTTAAACTGGTCTGGTTGCAATTTTATCAGAATTTAGTATCAAGGACCCAGCGTTAATGTTACAAACTGAACAGTAAGAGATACACAAATAAAACTCAGTTTACATTGAGAAATCATACAGTGAGATGATATAAAACTCCTTACCAGCAGACAGGGAGATTTCCACGTTTGTGAACTGTGCCAGTTGGCGCCCCACCTGGTGCACCTGGACCGCCAGTTCTCTTGTAGGTACCACCACCAGTACCCTGGTGACTGGCGCTGTCTTGGGTTTGTACAGGAGACGCTCCAGGACAGGTAGCATGAATGCTCCAGTTTTTCCTGGCCAGGGAATGAAACAAAATGTGATAATCACATAATCAGGCAAAGACAGTTAGAGCAATTTATTATAGTGAGTTGATAGGAGGGTGTGGGAATTTTATAACTATTACCTGAAAGGTAAGAATAGAGATGCAATCAATGGCTGCATTTGTTTCGTTAGCCCCAGTATTTTCCATGGAAAAACACTGGATACTAATAGCCATAGTAATAATTAAGAATCACTGCTGAAAGGCTGTGGTTTGGAGAAATAACATATTTTGATTACATATCATATTGTCTAATTTTAAAGCACTTCCATGACATACGACATGAAGATAACTATTCCACAAGCAACCTCACCACTTCCTGTCACGGCACAAGCACAAATGTCCTTTCCAAGAAGAGCGACAGGGATGGTGGCTGACTGGATAGGTGTGGGTTTGTCAAACTTCATCATACTCAATGCCTGGATTAACAATTCATTATCTCTGGATCAGTTAACTTATGCAAATCATACACCCGGTACATTAAAATTTATAATGAACAGGTTACACATGATGACTTTAATTAACTTTCAAGTAATATCATGTTTTGCTTCAATCAATATAATGTTTTGGCATGGCAGCAGAAAAATTCAATAATTTAGGGGTAAATGAGACATTTTCCAATTGTACTAAGTTACTATAAAAATCTAAAAGAAAATTGCACACTTGAACCTATTGGTGTAAAGTCTTACAACTATAATGGGAATAAATGAAAAAAGAAAAAAAAACTTCTGGTATATTCACATAACAAATTCAAACTTTTTTTTTTAAGAAAATCATATTTTACAGAAAACCTAGTATTAATGTGCAAGAGAAAAAAAATTACTCTATTTACTTAACCACAATAAATAATTTGGAGTTAATGACAAAATGTTATAGGCTAGTGAGGAGCTAAAACTCTATGATGTAACTTCATGTTATGCTCACTTTCAACAATGGCCGTGATAGGTTCATATCTTGGAAAGTGAGTGTTTCGTCAAACGTGTCAATACTTTCCGAAAAATTTATCTTCTCTCCCTGAAAAAAGTAATTAAATAAAGCATAAGAAATTTCTGTCACTTATTTCACTTACTGGCTATTTGTGCCTGTGGATCTTAAGAGTTACTTGCATGTTTTCCTTTTTAGAAACGTCAAGACTAATTTTACAGTAATTATATACAATAAGTATAACATGTAAAATGATCACCTCAGTATCATCTTCTTGCTGGCTCTTTTTCTTCTTCTTTTTCTTCTTTTGTTTAACCTTTACCTGATCTACAACAAATCGGAAAAAAACAATTTACTAAAATTACACCTGAATTCAAACTATACACATTAAAGTTGAACAAATTAGATCTAATAGATGAATGACTATCACAACTTGAAATTTCAATGACCAATGCAACAAGAGATTTTTAAAAAATGTTCAAATTCAAATAAGGGAAATGGAGGAGGGTTGCAACATGATAAATGACTTGCCTGAAGAAAATAATTTTCAAATTGTGTGGAGGACATCGCCTGAGCAAAGGTGGGACTACGGGGGGAATTGTGGAAATTAAAGTATGCGCACCTAAACCTGCAGACCTGCTTAATGAGGGAGAATTGTATATTTAGCGGGATTATAGAAACCACAAATGAAAACTATAAGTAAGTCATCAATACGTTTATTGCCCAGTACCTTAATTGGCCTTAAGGAGATATTCAGCATTGAGATTCAACAGAATGGCAAAGCCAACCCAAAGCAAACATTGCCCTCTAGTGGCAAGTTTCCAAATTAAATAAGAATTGATAAGTAACAAAAAGAATTTTTGTTATTCTCAACATCATAATTATTCAGGGCAGTAACCTATGATCACCTGCTATAACTTCTTCCTCTGACTCTGAAGACTCCTCCTCTGTTTCTTGCTCTTCTTCCTCATCTTTGTCGTCATCTTCCTCTTCGTCTTTTTCTGCTTGTTCACTTTTGTCCTGCTTCTAATAAATAATTAATAAATATTAAAAAATGTTTAATAATGCTAATTTGGGTCTCTTTACACAGATGCATTTATTTCAGAGATGACACATTCTGCTTTTTTGCCTCATAATACTCAAAGCCTATTATCATGTACCCCATATAGCAGTTTGACCATCCACTTTCAGAACTTTTTCACATAGAAAAGGAGGAAACTCACTTCAAGATGGAAATTTATATATATATGTATAAGACACATAAATAATTTGTGTCAATTAACTTACTTCCTTTTCTTTCTTTTGTTGTTTCCTCAGCTTTGCAATTTTTTCATCCAGTGATGTAGAATGAACCTTCTTCTTGGCAAACTGCAGAGCTATGTCCATATTCCAGACTCCTTCCCCTGAGGCCTGTGAGTACAGAGAAAATGAATGAACAAAAAAGGCAGTGCCAAAAAGATGCATTGAGCCAACAAGCAATTGAAGTATGCCCTTTATATTATTCAAATTTAATCGATTTATTCGTTTTCATCACACGCACAGCTTTTTAGTGGGTCGCCATATTTGAGCCTCAGACTAGTTAGTCCACTGTTCTGAACGCGACCTAAGTAAACTTAGGTTTTTCAAGTGTACAACTTTACACAATTGTATCAAATTGCAGATTTATAGACAAAGCTTCCTAGTGAAGGTTTACATTGGATCATTAAAAGCATCTGTAGTTAGGATTCTTAGTTAGTGTAGACAGACAACATATTGTAAAATTACTCCACATTAATGAGATGTAAAATGCTCTTAAGCATTAATTGTGTTAAGAAGTACATTGGGTATTCAAAGAAAATATACATACCTGATCAACAAAAGTGAAATTGCTGTCAAAATCACCATTCGCTACTATTTTCTTCTTTTTCTTTTTTGGCACAACCTGAAAATTAAAGTTAATATATTTATATATTTGTATATAGCTCTAATCACATACGTACATGTATGTGCAATTCAAGCAAGAGTCATTCGCTTAAATTCCACTGTATTTGATTTGCACAAACTAAATACTGAATGTGTCTGCTACATCATTTGACTACATTACACGTGTACTGAAGTACGGTGTACATCTAGTTCACAATATCATCGCAGTCTCGATATTCATGAACGATCTTAGGCCAACAGAGCTTTATATACCACTCATAAATTAAAATACTGACTGTTAATGATATCTCTATCTAAATGTACCTCATCATCACTGTCACTGCTCTCTGGCTCTACTTGTATCTCGTCATCCTCAGCTATAGTACCGATCAGCCCAAACTCTTCTGCCATGCTTGTTGTCACTGGCTTCTCGTCCATGTGCTTCCGGTTAGTCTCGATCTGAACCTGGGATTTAAAAACTTCTTTCCAGGGGAAATTTAGCCAATATAGGCATTACTTATCTCTGACCGATGTAACATATTAAAATACACGCATAAATTGGGCTTATTGTGAAGTTGCAATTTCTTTGTATCGAATCAAAACATGTAAATGTTATTGTTTTCCCGTCATGCATTGTAATTGAAATTTGGCGGGGAATTTCCATGCTCTTCCTGTTGACAGTAAACAGTGCGGTCATCAAGTAAGATATGGGAATTCATCAGCTCTCTAAAGTAATTGGTGATCATGCCTCTGGTGCAGTGAAGGAGAATGAAATTAAGAACTATTTTGGTGAGTGAACAATGGACTGCTCTCTCTCTCTCTCTCTCTCTCAACAATTTAAACATTCCCATTCTCCAGTTGAATATGTCAGTTGAGTTACAGTAAGCAGTTAACATAGCCATAGTTTACTGTTTCATGCCCATTCATTCAAGTTCACTCCGACTAAATCAATGATAAACGTAGCAAAAATAATAGAAACTTATGATAAATGTATTAATTTTTTATTCTTTTAAAATTAAAGGGCGCAAGGTGGCCATTGATGCATCCATGTGTATCTACCAGTTTCTTATTGCTGTGAGATCAGAAGGCAATGTGCTTACCAATGAACAAGGAGATGTCACAAGGTATGAATGCATGTATGCACGCACACAACCACACATATGCAGACACACACACACACACACACACACACACACACACACACACACACACACACACACACAGAATCAACAAGAGTTTCAGTCTTTTAAGTCTTTTTCTAAAAAACTGAAGACTCACCCCTATTTTCAGCTATGCATAGTGGTATTCATGTCCATTATTTTTATTTATATTTGTTTTTTTAGCGGACTTGCTAGAGTTAGATTAGGAGTTTTGCAAATGTCATACTAGTACATTTTTTAATCGAAAACAACTGATTTTTCAAAGAGAAGGTAATTTGTAGAAATACTAGTAATTGGTTTTTACTGCATGTTCACTTTTCTACAGCAATGTTAGACATAGTTGTATCAGGTTCTAGCCACTCTTTCGTTACAGTGCATATTAACTGAATCAGAATTGTAGTAGAACCTTTTAAAATCTTTTTCCAGACAATTTATTTGGTGTGACTCAAAAGTTTTTGTATTATATTTTCTGAACTCTGTAGTCATCTGATGGGGATCTTCTACCGAACCATCAGAATGGTAGAGAATGGAATCAAACCAGTCTACGTCTTTGATGGCAAACCACCACAGATGAAATCTGGCGAGGTGGGTGGATGCAGAAATGAAGCTAAAATTTTTGTTCTCATTACATTAATTTTTCACTCACTGATGAAGGCTGGAGAATAACACAGCTGGAATTTCTCAGGAAAAGGTGTATCTTACATATTATAACAACAATTACCTTGAAAAGTTTTGGATGGTTGAAGTGAGTCTTGATCTAAAATACTATAGCATTACATCCAATTGTACCATTCTTGGATTCACTGATATGCATGTTTTACAGGGGTTACCAGATATGCTGAAACTGTCGGTCCGATCGGTCATGACCAGGAAAATTTGTCTGGACCGGTAAAAAATTGGAGTTGGTCGGTCCAAAGGACTGACAAGAGTTTTAAGAACCACAATTTTGAATTTACAATCATCATTCGACATACTTCACTAGTAAATTATATAAAACCCAAAGCATTTTTCCCCTCCATTTCAAACCTATCACATTCACAAACAAAGTAAGCTACCTAATCGTACTGGTAGTATCTGTGTCAAACGAATAGGGTGATTTTCAGTCCGACCAAAAAACCATTCGGTCCGGCAAATTTTCATTACTGCCGGTCCAAATGTCCGGCCATTCTGAAAAGTTTTCAGCATGTCTGGGTTACACAAGCATATTTTCTCCTTAAACTAAGGAAAAATAAATTGTTTGAATTCAAAATTTAAATGAGGGAATGTAGGTTTAATATCTTCTATTTTCTCAACCTCTATTTTTATATTTTTACATAAATAATGTTATCGTGAACGCGTCTTGTTTCTCGCAGCTTGCCAAAAGAACGGAAAGAAGGGAGAAGACCCAGAAGGAGCTGGCTGAGGCAGAGGAGGCGGGCGAGGCTGAGACTGTGGACAAACTAAATCGAAGATTGGTCAAAGTGACAAGGGAACACAATGACGAGTGCAAGCAACTTCTGAGGTTGATGGGAATTCCCTATGTGGAGGTAAGGGCAGGTACATGATGAGAGGAAGGGGGGGGTTCAGGGTGTTAAATAGAATTGCCCTTTTAGTCAGAAAAAGGTCCACTCGAAGTCAATATTTGATTTAGATTCTTTGCCATTTCTTAAGTTGGGTCAACTAAAGGGGTAAAAATATTCACACTTTCATGATAATATTTACTCACACTCGTACACACAAAAAGAAAAAAAAGCAGTTTTAATTAGGCTTTTGTGCAGCAAGGAATGTCAAGGAATGAAATGAAAGGAAGAAAGCTTAAACAAACAAACAAAAAATAATAATAGTATTTTTTAAGCTATGTTTGCATCATTTTGCTTTTGAGACCTGATAACATTATAACATTTATTTTATCAGTCTGTTTTTGAGTTGAGACCTTTTCAGGTTTTGTATTTTGGGTTAAATCTATTTAACATGGGTAACTGCTATTCAGCCATAATTTAGAAACATGAAATCAGATTTGATCCATATCAAACATTTTCCCCAGTGATATGCACATTTTCCATGAACCAGTTTCCATGCCTAGTTTCATTGCCACTTTTAAGGCACCAAAACAGTGTTACACTTTTATATAGCAAAAAATAAATTTTATTGGAAATTTCAGGACTTTTTCTTATATCAAAATCTGTTCACTGACCAGAATTCCAATCCATAAACCCTTTTCTTTTCTTAGCTGTAAGTTTCTAGTCCCTCTCTTATAATGGAGACTGGTGAATTGAATTCCTGACAGTAAAAATGAGAAATTTAAAACTCAAAAATGGGCATACAGATCTTTTTCAATGCCTTCTGTAAAGATAGCCACAGTCTGCTTTATTGATAAAGGGAAAATTGCTGAAATTTCTGTTAATATTTTTTTTTTTGCTATATAAAAGTCTGGCACACTTTGTAAAGTGGCTTTCATTTTTATAATAAAAAATTTACTGTCTGCTTGCATTACTGGATTTGAAATTATTTTTCAATGAAATTTTCTGATGACTTCTTTTATTACTGGCTATGTGGATCTACCCAACTCTGGGGTGGTTCTCGCTGAGCGCAACTGCCTCCTAGCATTAAGTTAAAGCTGGTTATCCTATATGGGATAGAAACAAAAGGAGGCATGGCATTAAGTTAAACTGATTGGACTTAGCAATAGTTGAGTTTGTCCACTAAGACCCATGGTGTCTTTTTGGGAATGAGGTCGTATTGAGGGTTTTTATTTTCTTGATTTATCTAGGGTCTTAACCTAAATATTTATTTATATATATTTATTTATAAATGTCTCTTTATCGTAGGCCCCGTGTGAGGCGGAGGCTCAGTGTGCGGCCATGGTGAAAGCAGGGGTTGTGTACGCCACAGGAACAGAGGACATGGATGCTCTCACCTTTGGTTCCTCCATCCTCCTCAGGCACTTAACTTTCAGTGAAGCCAGGTTAGTTACTGGATTTTTAACCATGAAATTTGAACAGTGATTTTTAACTTTTATAGATGTTGTGCAACATTGTGAAATGATTTGTTTTCTTGGGACTGCGTGGTTCTTTCTTTGACTTTATAGATTTATCATATTAAAGGTAAACTGGGGATATCTTTTTAAAACTTTGCTTCAGTAGATTAATATCTGCCTTAGAAAAAAAGTTATGATGCAAGTCTGCCCAAGGTTTTTTTTTAACCCCCATTTCATTGTTTTATCAAACTTCCTGTTTATATTTATGCATTTTCTCCATTTTTCTCCTCTGGCCTTCTCAAATGTGAAAAGTAAGTTGTTATATGAAAGCAGCACTTTAATTCTGCATTATTAAGATAACTGAAGTGCAGAAATCTCTACTTGATTTAATAACCACAATTATTCTAGGACAATTTGTAGCCTAGGTAACCTTGGACATAGATAATCTCCAACATATAATTCCATAATTGAGACTAAAAACTTTTTATTTGTAGTCAAAAACAAAGAACTCTACCCATTATCCCTAAACTATGAGCAAGTTGATGAATTAATTATCTCAATTTAAATACACCCCCTGTCCTTAATTAGTTATACTAGTTAATATATGGGCCCCTGTCCAAATTATTTAGATTTTGAAATCAGCATGACCCAATATCTGGAGAGATAACAGGACATTGTCTGGAGGTTATATAATTTCCAAGATCTCACAAGTGTTTGCACCAAATGTGTGGATTATTTCTCAAGTGTTTATTAAGAATCGTCAGTAGTCTCAATAGCTTCCGTGAAGATATCCTGGAAACAGATGAGTCACCTAGTGTAATTGACTTATTTGTTATTGGATTTGGCACCTTATATTTCAAGGTCGTATTTCATCGTATTTTGTCATCATTGATAAACATATTTTTTTAAGATGTGCACATAAGCCTAAGAGAAAACAAGTCACATTTTAAACCATCAGCTAATGTACAGTATATATATATATATATTGTTGTTGTTAATGATTCATTTTGTAATTCCAATTTGTGAATGATAATTCCTTTCTAGAGACTGCTGCTATTATTTATAATAAAGAATTAATGATAGAACAAACTTGCTAAAATTGAATAAATTGGATAAAGAGTGGTAAACTACCTCTAAGATTTTTGATACCCAGCAGCAAAATATACAGTTACGTAGGTAATGAATGGAATGCAATTTACATAAAGCAATTTATTAGTGTTGAACCATTGCTTTATCACCATTATCAATCAGCATTAATATTCAGATGGATTATATAGTATTAACTCACACAGAAACTAGATAATTGGAAAGTGTGTGCAAAATCTGACAAGCAATTATTTCACTTTTGCTTGGATAGAAACTCTCAAGTGGCATAGGTAATTAAGTGTATTGTGCTACCAATACATCAGCACTGTGCATACGTTTCCTTTTGATGATGGGATTTTGAATGATGTTATAAAATGAAAGATACCATCATAATAAGATTAAGGAAATGCAAGGGGTTGGCTTGTTCTTTCCACTTGCTGATTTTCTGTTACATAAGTTTATATTTGAAGAAAATTCAGCTTTGAAGGTCAGTTCTTTCTCTGCCTGCGGCTGCCTCCACATGAGCATAGAATTTCACCATACGCTTGGCGAAAACTTTTATTCATAATCCCATAGATCCATGGATTCACACAAGAGGCCAACCAAAATGTCAGTGCAGAAATCATGTACACCGCCCGATCAAAACATGCATTCACATCCACTGTGTTCACAATAGTAAAAGGAAGGTATGTTAAGAAAAAGCCTAAAAATACCACCAAGATCATCTTGACTGACCGAATATCGTTTTCTGGGATTTCGTATATGAGATCATTCTGTCTTTGCTCAGGGAGATTTGTCAGACCAGTCATGGTTAGGTCTGCGTTCAAGTGGCTGCTGCTGATGGTATGAACAGGCGATGGTACCCATTCTGTATGCCGTGCAGTGTATGTACAAATACGGTCACGACTTTTGCGAATGGCCTGTACTATACGAAAATAACACACTGTCAGTACCATGCAGGGGATGATGATTGCCACTACGAAGACGGTAATCACTGTTGGACGAGAAGTCTGGCGGACATAGTTGTATCGTCCCACTTGGTGGGTGTATGCCACTTCCACGCCATAACCCCACATACCAGGTGCAACAACAGTGAATGCCAGCAGCCATACTGCAGATATCTGGAGACCAATGGCGACCTTTGACGCAAATCTTTTATACGCTCTAGGATGCACTATGAGAATGCATCGGTTGACAGCAATGCACATGATGTTAAGGCCTGAGGCGATTATGAGAATGGTTCCGAAGAAATTCACGTACTTTCCCACTTCATCTGAAAAGTTCCATCTCCTGCTAAGATAGGTGTCTACATAGAAAGGCATGATACAGAGTGTGAACAGGACGTCAGTAATGGCTAGACTTACTGTGAAGGCATTGTAGGCAACCTGGAGTTTCTCTGACTTGATGACAGCTGTGATCACTAATAAATTCCCAATGCCTCCCAAGATGATTTCCAAGATGATGAAGACTGCTCCAGTTTTACCTACAATGTTATTTGAGTCAGAATGGAGAAAATCATCATCTGTTGTGTTACATTCCATAATTTTAGGTGTTTTGGCAGCAATTTTCAACACAGTTTATTTACACATCAAGAAAAAAGCTTAAAGCATTATGAACCACTTCACAGTATGTTCTTCCTTAAAAGCTCTCCATTCTCTGTTCTTTCGGGTTTTGTTCTTCTGAAAGAACTTCTGTGCCTCTTTTTAGAAAGGTTTACCTTTGGGGGCTTGTGCCATTATATCGTAGGTTATAACAGTCTTTGGTATGGCAGTTCTATCAGTTTACATTTGCTTGGTATCTTCAACAGCAATGTCTCCAATTTTTAACAATCCTTGTGTTTTTTACCAATTATGTCCCACATCAAATCTTTTTTTATACAGTCGAGGAGAACCACCTCATTCACCTTGACTTAGAGTGTGCATGAAAAGTACAGCTCTGTTTCTTGAGAAAGAGATTTGAAAACTGATGACAGTTTTGAATGTCCGTTGCATTAGCATGTCTAGCATGTCTAGGGAAGTATTAGCGTATTAAGCGGCACTAGATATTGCATCCTTCATAGCCTTTGTATTTATTGCCTCACTTATGAAGCTGTGCAGTAATTGTAGTTTTTCATCTGGCAATTAAGAAGGAACACTTTACTTTCGTGATTATTATCCCAGTGTGTAGAAGCCTTTGAGACAGGATATTAAAATCCTGCCTGAAAATGTCAGAATCATGTAACTTACTATAAAAGATTTGCTTTAATCTCAGTTAGGCGGCTGAATGTGACACAATTACTAGACAGCATCCTTCATCATTCTTTGATTGTGTTGACCGTATAACTTCACTGTAAATCCTTCTGCCTGCCTCTAACAAAACTGGCACAAAAGCAGGCTTGATTTTATAGTTTGTTTGATATTTTAGAATTTGTGCTGCAGATTTTGAAAAAAAAATAGTCAGCACCTCAAAATTAGCTCAGGCTTTCAGTTATTTATTTTCTTAGGTTTTTTAAATAAAAGGTTAATCCTTATTCTTATCTGTTCTCAGTAATGTCTCTGATGATGCACAGTATTTTTTCCTCACACTTTATCTAAAACATCTCATTGCTGTTATTTTGTTCTGCCACATTGTAATTTTCACTTATATGAATTGTTATCTTGTATGTCCTGATTGGAAAATAATAAGGAATACTTGATTATCTGATCTTACTTGGCCTGTGTCCATGAATTTCTCGAAGACTAATGGTCAACCATCTGTTCCTCACTGCTGTCTCTGTCCTTGAGTCTGTGCTTGACCAGTGCTCCACTGCCAATGACTAGAAGAAACACCATCTCTCATTAACGGCTCTCTAAGAAATATCCCACATGTCATCATACCAAGAGAAAACCATTCATCAGATTAGACTGGACAGAGATCAAGGAGTCAATGGCATGTCTTATTCCTGAGAATACTAGTTTATCCCCATTTATTCTTCCTGGTGATGTATTGAATTGTGATAATGATAAAAGTGATTAATTCTTCTTCCTTATTTGCTTGGTGGATGGGCAACACTTGGATGGGAGTGGTTGTATTATCTGATGGCCTACTTGATATTTGATAAGTAGAACATACAATTCTAAGAAAGGATTTAATCTTAAGTTGGCTTTAAGGGCTTTTGAATTCATAATGGAAATGTTAATAGCTCATTTTGAAATGCCATGAAAATAGAAAAATTCAAAGACGAGAAAATTCTGTTCCCATGTATCACTTCAAGGCTCATGTGCTGTTTTAAAAATTTTTCAAACATTTTTTTTCATCTCAGCTTCCAGATGTTATTTAAAAATCTTTATAATTGTGTCTGCATCTAAAATTTCATTGTATAATTTAAGATATGAACAAAAATGTTATATCAAGCTGTTTTTTCTTGGGGTGTTTTTAAATCTAGAGAAAAAAAAAACATTTTAAGTAATCAAGGATGATAAAGGTTCTTTTTCATTTCAGAAAAATGCCAATTAAGGAATTTTATTATGGGAGAATATTGGATGAATTAGGACTGTCAGATGAAGAGGTGAGATGATCATATTTTTATTGAATTCAGAAAGTTTTGCTCTTGGCATTCAAGACAATTTCCTTTTTTCTCTGAACAATGCTACTAAGAAAATGTCTTCATATTTCTAGCAACAGTGGGAAGCAAAAATTGACATGAGCCGTGTATTTTTGAATTAATGATACTTTCCTCTTATTGTCATTAATGAAAATTTACCCTAAGTGAGTGTACCTGGCTAATGATTATTGATTCTTGTGCTATTTTCCAGTTTATTGATCTCTGTATACTGCTGGGCTGTGACTACTGTGAGTCTATTAGAGGGATAGGACCCAAGAAAGCTCTTGACTTCATCAAACAATACAAGTGCATTGAAGAAGTAATTAAACATATAGACCAAAAGGTACATGTTGTTTATTTCATTTTCTTCCATGCTGTACATTTCAGACATCATGATTTTGAAGTGACTTTTTCTCAAGTATATCTCAGCTATGAGATTGATAGCACAGAGTTCACAATAAGAAACCAATCTAACAGCATCTGACTGGTTCTAATTTTAAGTTTGTGGACAGCGGAAAGGTTAGATTTTCTGTCTCTGGTGTGCTAATCATACATGTAATTTGAGATAGTTCATACTGAGATGGGTCACACTGAGATAGATGTAGGTCACATTGAGATAGGTCACACTGAGGTTATTCTGAGATAGGTCACACTGACATAAAACATGGTGAGATAACAACTGAGGTAGGTCACTCTGAAAAAGGACACACTGAGATAGGTGTTATTGGTGAAGGTCACACTGAGATAAGCCGTACTGAGATGTCACACTGAGATTGAATGAACTAGGTCATACAAAGAGAGATTACACTGAGATGGTGGGTCAAATGGTTTAATGTTATACTGACCCACCTTAACTGGAAACGGGGTTAAATCACCTGCCAAACACATAATGAGAAGTGAACACAATCCCTAATATCAAATATCTGTTTATTTGTAAATTGTTCATTACAGAATTTGTATGTGATATTTTATGTTGAACAGATATGATCTGCATTGTAAAAAAATATTAATGATGTTTTATATTCTGCTATTTGAACTTCCCTGGTATTCTTCCAGAAATACACAGTGCCCGAGGACTGGCTGTTTAAGGTAAGGCAAAGTGAAGAAAAAAAAAAACATAATAAACAAAAAAAAAAATTGTTTGTTTTCACAATCAACTTGTTGTTTGATTCAAAACTAACATCAAGTACCTTGTTAAATTTTAAATTAGAAAGATTGTTTTGATTTCCTTTAGTGCAGATTAAACATAAAAGGATACTGCATCTTTCTTTATTTATGCAGTTACTTATCAAAATGTCCAAAACAGTTGCTCAATGAGATGATAAGATTTTACTATTTTCCCAGAAAGAACAATTTGCAAGGTAACCTTGCACATATTTGTGAATCTACATTTTGTGCGTGAAAAATTAAATAACAAACAAATGATTACAAATAATTGTGAACTCAAAACCATTTTTTCTGTCTTTAAGGAAGCCCGTCAGTTGTTTAAAGAACCAGAAGTTGCAGATCCTGGGACGCTGGACCTAAAATGGACTGAACCAGATGAGGAGGCTGTGGTGAAGTTCATGTGTGAGGACAAAGGCTTCAAGTGAGTTGGGGCTAACCAAATGTTGACTTTTTAAAGTTTAAAAACTTAATCGTTTCATCCCAACTTCCAGTCCCATCAAGTTGTTTGGGTTTGAAGATAGTATGTATTACAAAGACTATAATAATGTATATTTATGTATTGTAAAGACTATTTATATACTAGCAATAGCAGGGACCAATCTCCTTAGTCTAACAAGCAGGATAAGATTAGTCCCTGACTCCCTGCTATTGCAGGTATATAAATTAAGCATTTTCCCCTAAATATCACATCGAAAACATTGCAATGCAATGTGTTCTTTGCTCTTGCTTGTCTCAAAGATAGCAGCCATCATAGGTGACATCACAAGTGAAATCACAATTGACATAAGTGATATCACAGATGACATAATAAGTGACATCATAAGTGACATGATAATTGACATCACAGATGACATCATAAGTGACATCACAGATGACATTACAGGTGGCATTACAGGGTCAGTGGAACTTACTGAGCATGTGGCATCTTATTTTCTTGTTTCTATTGTAGTGAAGAAAGAATACGGAATGGTGTAAAAAAGCTGGCAAAGGCACGCCAAGGATCTACACAGGGAAGACTAGATAGTTTCTTCAAGGTTTTACCAAGCCCAGGGGGAAGCAAGAGGAAGGCAAGTTAATTCTTCATCAGTCTTAATTTCAAAAGCTTTTAAATATGTTTTTTTCTAATATCGATCTTGGGACTTTGACAGTTGATGAATTTACTTGTTACTTCAAACTTTTCTGGAGGGGAAATCTTGCAAATTTGGAATTTGTTTTTATAAATCTTTCTACTCAGCTGTAACTTGCTCAGAGATGTTTGATCTTGTTCATTGTTTCACTGTGGCATAACAGAGATATGATTGATATTCAGGGAGTTCTTTGATTTCCAGGAATTCCATTCTGAGTCAGTCACATGCTTGGGTTGCTATATGTTTGTGTTTGTCAGTTTGCATTCATTGTATTTTCTGATTGATGAAGTTGACAGATACGCACACGTACACACATGCTATGAGAGAGAGAGAGAGAGAGAGAGAGAGGGAGAGAGAGAAAGAAATGTATTTTACTCTGTGTTTCACAACAGAGATATTTAATTAATTTACAGAAAGAGGAACCCAAGGGATCAGCAAAGAAAAAAGCAAAAACTGGAGGTGGATTCAAGAAACCAAAGTAGAGACTCACTTGTGTAATATTGTGATAAGAATAAAATAGAAGAAGTATTTTGACATTTTTTAAAGAAAAGAGCTGTCAGATTCTATGATTAAGAAACTAATCTCTGAGTGTAAATAAGATGACATTGGCAACTTTTTTTGTTAATTCTGAAATATCCACTCAAAGCTTGTGTTAGTGGTAAGGCCTTGATTGGAGCTAGGTAAGAGAATTAATTATACTTTAACATGGATGCAATGCAATGTTTGGTGATGATGTTGGAGTCCTGTGGGTGTGTTTTGTTACACCACATAACATTGACCAAGATGTATTCAGTTGACATAAATTTTTTTTTTTTAAAAATGAGTACCTGTGCTCTTGGTTGCACTATTACCTACTTGATAATATTGGGGTAGGCACTGGGATCCAAACATTACCCTTTGCAAAGGGGAAACATGACTATGTTGCCATCTTGGTTTGCTCAAGGAAAATTTTTGTAAATTTGTTAGACAAATTTACTGTGGAAATGCAGTGAAAGGGGAAAGAAATTGGTGCATTGCGAGTTCCAGGCAGACGACTGAATGCTGTGCTAGTGGTGTGTTAGTTGTGCCAGTCACAATGGGGTCCATTTCGTTGGTGCAGCTGCCTGTAATTTTAAGAAGTTGTGTACTTTTGTTTCCTCTTTGCATCCCTTAACTGTATCATCATTTCATAAACTGCTGGGAACTATTTGTCACAGAATACAATAGAACTGGAGTAGTTATAGAAATTCTGTCATTACTGTAAAGGATCAACCATTTTCAAACCCCGAACCTCTTTAAAACTTTAAACTTGCAGTAACATTATTATATTTAGTGTGTTTTTCTTATTGCAGCTCATGTTATTACATGTAATCGAGGTAAATGATGTTATTTGAGAGAAATTGAAGCAGGTGTTTGAAATATCAGATGTTAACATAGAGAGAAACTTGGTCCATAAATACACCCAACATGTGTGTTAGATTTTGTTTCAATTTGTTCAATAATTTGTGTTGCCCACACACCACTTATAATAAGTACAGCCCATTTAAGTTATCAACATTTTCAGAACTTTGTACAGAACTCTTCCTATGTTTAATATAATTTATATCCACATTTCCATGTAATACTGTATCAGGTATTGATTATCCCTGTAATTTGTGTAGGAGGAATGGTGAAAGTGGTGTGAAGATGTTAATTTATCTCATTTTCCAAACTAGTTGCAACATTTGAACATTTTGAGAAGTCTGCTTGGATTCAGTGCTCGGGATGCCCACAGCTGTGGAAGAGCCTCAAAACTGACACCAAGGCAAGTGTATTTTACGCCAAAAAATATTTTCTTTGCCTTCAGCAAGACTTTTTCATCATTACTCTGCATATCAAACATCAAAAACTCTTTGAAGCTCTGTAAAATAATCTGTGTGCCAGGCCCTGGCATGTTGGGGAGGTTCATATGGCATAACAAGACAATACTAGATCAACAAAATGCCATTCTGCCTGCTGTGGAGGGGGCAGGCAAGGTCCCTCCTAACTGACAGAAACATCTGCGGAAATTAAATCCAAGTGAAAACCAAAACTCCTTCTGTTTTCATATAATTTCAACTTTGTATTTATTTTTGATCTGAATCACATGTTACACATCGAGGAGCACTTCCTCTGCAAAAATCTGTATGTTACACAACTACATAAAATAGAACAGATCCAAACACTTGCATTGCATCTACTGTTAACGACTGCCGCAATACTGAATGTTGTATCACCTAATACAATTGCACTATGACATTAGAAGATGAAGGTACCAAGCTGGCTCTCGGGCAGTGTCAGTGACTAGTTTGAATGATACCAGCTGCGACTAGTTTAATAATTTGTTTGCCATGACCAATGCAGTGAAATGGAAAAAATATAAAAGAGACGATGTACACTATACAATAAATAAGTTACTTTCAGGATAAAGCTTGCTTATTTGATATACAGAAACATAATTCTCTACTGTGACACTTTGTACCTGAAACAATGGACACTCACATACAGTACAAGGTAATATTGCATCAGGGTTTTCTTCACTGTACATCTGGAAAGAACATGTTGGTGACCTTATATACATACCAATGTACCATGAGATCACACATACCCACAGTGAAACTACATTCACAGTTATTTGATATTTTGTTCACACTAAAAAAAATCTGGTTTCCATACATATGAATTCTGCAGAGAATATCTGCCCTTTACTATTCAATTTTGAATTTGAAAATGTTTTGGCAGATGAACAATTAATTGCACACATGGGTTTACAAAATTATGTTGCTTTTCACATTGGTATACAAAGTTCTGCATTTGCAAGTTGGCCACATTGTTTCATTTCTGTGAGTTAAGTAATCTGTTTGAGTATTGTTTCAAGAAAACTTCAAGAAAGTCTGTACACTAAAAAGGCATGTTTTAGCAAAACTAGCCACTAGAATCTAAATGAATATCTTACATACAAGTAGAGAAATAGTAGATGAAAAAAGATCTAGTTTGTCTGCCTCAAGCAACCAGCCAGGAGCACACCATATTTTAACACCAGTCAAAGAACATGCTACTTTGTGATGTGACCTATTGTCAACAATGATTGTCACTGCATTATTTCACCTTTCTAATGCTATCCACTTTGACTAGCTGGTGCTTTCTAATCAGTACATGAATTGCACATGAATATACTAATGATATTCTATTTTTTGATCTTCTATTATTAACTTCAAGTTCAGTCTAGTGAGAGGAAAAATTAACTGTGGTACACATTTGGGATAAAATCTGTTGAAAACTCCATGGAAAGCAAGACCACAATATATCTTAGCTGATAAAAATTACAAAAAAAACAAATTCTGATGCATATCTGAAATTTCTAAAAACATGTCTCAGACCAATGAAGAATTTAAATTCAAAGGAATTACTTGAAAATTTCAAATACTCAAGGTATTAAATTACTTAGTATGATCTAATATTTAGGTCACTGAATGTTTAAAAAAATACTTTCTGACATCAAACCAACACTTTAAATAAAAACTTACAACAATATCTTTTAAAGAACTTGCTACCAACATGTTCTTTTTTTTCTGAAGAATAATAAATGTATTTGTTTGAATTAAAAAAGTAATAACCATAGAAATCATGAAGGTTCTTGCAGACCACTTCAAAGAAGCCCTTGTGATCTTTTTAGGTATTTCAACAATTATTAGCAAATTTTTAAATGTTTGGCATCTTAACAAACAAAGTTGAAATGACCCTAAAACTGTGCAAAATAAACATCTCATTAAACATTATATTCCTTATCATAAGACCATCCAAAATTTAAAATGTTTCTTATGGTGCACAGAAATTATTTAACCTTTTTTCCCATATGTAGTTACTAGTTGAATCATTTCCAATTATATAGCCATTTGGTAGACAGACATAACCATAATAAAGCATAAAACATGAATAAATATCTTAGAGAAAAATGTTCAGCAGATGACAACTTAACTACTCAAGACTCGAGTTCTTCTGTGAAAAACAACATACATATATAGAAAGAAAATCTCTTGAATTAGTATCACAGTGCTTCTAAATGCATGCCCTGGACATCAATTGTGCAACAAGACCTAAAATGCAGAAACACACAGGGTACGCCAGCGATAAAAGCGTTAAAAGCAGACTGATTGACCATCAGAGTTTGCAATCACCAGTGAGACGTTAAATCCATCCATCCATCCATTCATTCATCCATCCACAGAATACTCATGGTAATCATTTGAGAAAATGACTAGGACCTTGTAAAATAATGTGAATAATTAGCATCTTACGTAATAAAATTAAAATCTATGTTCTTATAACTATGTACCAATATAAGTATACATATACATATATATGTTTTATCTCTCAAATATATTTACATCTATATACATCCTGATATATACTACTGACCCTGATTCAATAATAATAATATTAATAATGGAGTTTTTAGTATCAGGCAGGGGTACATGTGTAGACCTGACAGCAGAAATGCATTTAAACCATAACAAATGGGAGAGGGGGTTAAAACAGCAGTTACATATGTTTACACTCAGAAATCAAAACACCTTTGGTTCCCCTAAAAAATTGTAAAACAACAAACAAGTATTGTTATTTTCTGAAACCCAAACATGTTGTGGCTTTCAAATAATGGTTGGATTTTATAAGAAGTGGATGACTTGCCAAGGTCTGATAATGCACTCGGGTTACCCACCCAGTTCAATGCTGGGTGAATGACCTGGCGGAACGACCCCTGCATAGCCACGGTGTAGATGCAATGGTGACGTCAACGTCTAATACAGAGTACAAAATTTTAAGAATTTTGAGTATTCCACTAGACATGTCAAGATCCTCTGAATGAACAGCTCGAGTACAAACTGCTGATTGTGAACAGCTTGTGTAACAGTTGAAGTCTCATGTCAAAAAATGTCCCAAATGAACCGTAAGTGACAACTACATTAAGACCTAAAATTTGGACAACAGTTGATTTGAAAGCCACAAACATTCCACTCTTTGAATTACTTCCAGTGTTCTTTCATTTTCACTTAAACAGATACTCTGTAACAGCATTGTTCTTTAAAAAAATCTATCAAGAGGCAGTTGTAAATTTGGCATCGTCTCAACAAGCCCCACACTGACATACGCATAGATCATCTCATTTCAAACCCCTTCAGAAATGAGTTCCGCATATCTTTTTGGACTGCCACACCAAATTTCTTTATTGAAGGACCAATCTGGGGGTCATTCCAACTGGGCACACAAGAAGTCATAACCATCTCGCCCTGTTCCTCGTCCACTATGTCACCATGCCAGCCAGTTTCCCCGCAGACCACTGGGGTCCTGTCAATCTCACAGCATTTATGGTAATTATTCAACAGATTCAAACAACGTGGACTAATAATTTTCTCCTAAAATGTTCTTTTTTTAAAAAAATTAAACTTCAGTTTTCTCATTTGAAATATTTGAAAATTTAGTTGGCCTTTGTGTCTGAAAGTACACTTTTGCAAATTAAAAAAAATATATATATTCAAAAAGTGAAATACTAGCAAGCGTTTAAAAATTTCAAGTATCTACCGTATGCTTAGCACTAAACAGGGTCTTAAAAACATTTCTTGGCCTTTAAAATGTAAGAGCAGTAAGGGCAAAAAGTTCACCAGGCATTGGGAAAACCTGCATGTTGCCACCAAGGGCCTTAGTGGTGGCTGGAATCGATTTAACTATAGTGAAGAGTCAAGTCTCTTGCTGCTGAATCTTCTTCCTATATCGTAGAACTATTTACAAAGACATTTTAACATGATAATTTGGAAAGAACAAGACCAAAGAAAAAAACACAGGAAGTGGATTTTAGTTAAGAAATCACTACAGCAGACAATATTGTCAATAATTTTACGCAAGATGTCATTAACTAACTTGTCTGAGAGCATGGAGAACATGATCTACTTGGATCTCACATCAGCTCCAGAAATGGTGTCTAAACCTGCCTAGAATATAGTTCAAGGTTTTATTACAAGCTGGTCATGCAGTGCAGTGCTCCACCTTGTCAAAAAGAATAGAAATAAGAGTCGGTAGAGGTGCCCTCTCCTGGAAGGATTGATAGCAAACAACAGCTGTTTGGAGTTGCTTTCCATAAAGGGCACTTTGTAAGATACACGGTCATTCCAAGCGATTTGTATAAATCACACATTCCTGGAAAATGAGCACAGGACTTAGACTGATGGAGATGATATTTGAAATGGAAAATGAATTATGCCACATGATCTCAAACATCACTTGTTGACCAAATTAAACTTTGGAGAGCAAGAAAACATTCCCCTTTGACCAAACCACTTATGCTTTCATTTTTCAGTGGCCTGGATTTCACAGCAGACCTTCCAAAATATGTTAATTAAATAAGACCAAGTTAATTAAAATAAAAATTAAGAACATTCAAAAATTCAAGAAGAAAAAGAAAAAAAAGATTGCACTTAAAAACAAGACAGAAAAAAAAACGACAACCTGGTAAAATGTGCTGGCAAAGAGGCATGGAGAATACAGTTTCATGTCAAGGCATGGGGTTACTCTCTCTCAGTTGGGTATTTTGAGGATTAGCCAGCAGTTTTGGCATGGATACAAAACTCCCCAGACCCTAGTCCTAGGCTCTCCCCCCACCCACTGAGGGCCCTGCTTGCTATTGCAAGTTTACGCATCTGGTTACTCAACCACAAAAAGAGAGCACTTAAAAACCACTACTTCTTACTTAAAAACCACAACTTCTTACAGTGTCTTTTAAATTAAACACAATCAATGTTATCAAATAAAACCACCAAAATTGACTTTAAACAAGCTTTTTTAGCTCACTCAAAATCGCATTTGCTTTGTTTTAAAATTAATGGCTGCCTTGTAGCAGTTCTAATGTCAAACTTTTTTGCTCCCCGCCTATATGTTGGTAAATGAGGCGAGCACTGACACCTCATGTAATAACATACATATTGTCCAAAAATAAATCACGACGTCTGCTGCAATCCACCCATTTTGGTAGGAAAAAAAGATAATAATAATCATAACACTATTGTGGCCCTGGCAAAAAACACCCAGTCAACACTCCCCACCCATTATGGATAAAAATAAATTAAAACACTGAAAAATAAAAAAAGCCCCATGCTAAAAGGTCCCAATTTTCATGTAACAGAATACGATATGGACTCTACAGTGAAGGTGGGTCTCCTCCCAGTGGATGAACATTTAGATGACTTTGTTCAAGGAGGCAGCAGTAATGCTGGCATGGCCTGTGACTAATAGATTTAGGTTCCTGTTCACCCTTACTGCCCTTAATTTGCTTTCCCAACTGTACTTTCTCTTTCTTACAGTAAGAAGTACCTCCTTGCTCAGAAACTGTGTTGGTGGAGGAAAAGGAGGAGAGGATTATTTTCTTCGTCCTAAAAAACCTCACCCTTCATGCACACCATGTTTGGACTGACAGCTGCTTAAATATTTCTAAATATACAACCTTACTTTCAGCATATAATTTTCTCTTTGAACACTATATATTCATAAATGAATATGTACCCTGCCTGATATCGGAGGAAATACTGGAATCATGAACTGAGAACCAGTCTCCTCTTGTATTGAACACTGCATTTATGACTTGTGCTGCCATCTATCAGCAGCACCCTGAGCACCATTAATTCCTTGACTTGTACTGGATATATTACACCATTATATACTATGTACATATATTTATATATATATTTATTACATATATATACTGTGCTGATGGCCTCATTGGTGTTCCTGGTCCAATGATGGAACCAGAATGAGATGGTAGACAGAAGTATCCCTTCTTCCTTGTGAGAGCGTGATTTTCTTCACACAGTTGGAGCAGTTGAATGACTCAGGAATGGAGAATACGAGCCATCCTGCAAGCCAATGACTGTCACTTCCCTTGCCATTATGGTTAACAATACCAGTGACCAGTCATCAGGACCAGATTTTGTACTCCATCAAAGTCTACTTCACAGTTTCCTCAAGGGATCCTGAATGACCTTGGACCTTTGGCATCATCCACCAAGGTCAGCATCCATCTCAAACCCACATGACCTTGACCTAAAACGGCCCTGGACTTTGACATGACCCGCCAGCTGTCTATTTGCCCTCTCAGAGAGGGTGGTGTTGTAGTTCTTTTTGAAGCTCTTCCAATTCCTCTGGCTGGACGCGCCGATGCTCTGACCGCAAGGACTTACTGGATTTGTTCGACTTTGTGGATTTAGCTGATTTGGTACTTTTGGCACTCTTTGTGCTGTTGGCGCGGGTAGATTGGCGATGCAGCAGATTCTGACTGATTGTCCGATGCAGATTTTTGTTACTGGAAGAAGCCGCATTGGTGGCGATCCAGGGATGCTTCACTGCTTGGGCAGCAGTCAGCCTTTGGTTGGGGTCCAGCACCAGGAGCTTATCTATGAAGTCTTTGGCCAAAGGAGAGACATCTTTCCAATGCTGCAAAGATGGAAAAGAAGCAATTTAATATGATGATGTTACAATAAAATTTTGATAGATTCTAGCAAATTTATTGATTCAAAACAACCTAAACCAAAACAACCTTAATTCAAAACAAGCAAAACTGCCTTGTACAATCACCTTACTGAAACACAGAGTTGTAAAATATAGAGATAATGTTTTCTAAGAAATGTGGATTGTTTCTGCAACATATTACTTTCATATTAAATCCAAAAAACAATTTTGCTTCATTTCAAAAAACGATGACAAAAAAAAAAAAAAAAAAAAAAAATGTGCATGCGCACACGCAAACACACAAGTGCCTGCACAAATAACACTATCATTCCACACATTTCCATACATTTTTATATAGCTATCAGGAATGCCCCTTAGTACACAAGTGTTATCTGCCTCATCATTAACTCTTCCACTATATCAATTTCTCATCACTGAAAATGGCAGGGAAAACATTTTTATTTTA